AAGTCCCTTATATCTTAGGACTTGTTTCTTAAAATCTATAGTTACGTTAGCTCGGCTTAATACATTAATTCCTATCAATATATCGCATTCTAAATTCGATATTTCATAAAATCTTGTCTTAATTCCGAAAATTTCTGCTTCATAGTAATATTTTATTATAGTGTATCCGTTTATTGTTTTTACTCGTTTATAAATTGCTAATTCTTGTTTATTTGCTAATATGCCTGGTCGGCAATAGCAGTTAGTTGCTCCTGTGTCTATTAGTATACGGACTCGTTGGCCTCCAGGTTTAGTTCTGAAGATGTAGGGGAGGCCGGGCCTTGGCCTAAAAAAGCACTCTCTTGAATGTTATTTATACGTTGATTTTTTACTACAGGTTGTGCACTTTGCTGTACACTCTCTAATGGGCGTTTCTGTGGCTGACTCATTTGATTAGGTTGTGGATTGGGAACGAAGTTAGGGAATCCCCGGCGATGATTAAAAGTTGGCTTCCATGAGTTTTGGTTAAATGGGGTACGTATAGGATTCGGGTTATAGAAATTGCTTTGATATCTCGGTTGTTGATACTGTGGTATTGGTTGTTGATACTGTGGTCTTGGTCCCTGATTATTTTTCATCGATGGATCTACTTCCATTGGTTCTGGTTTCGGGAAATAATTTTTATTGTTATTAGTTGGGATTTGAGGGCGTTGTGGATAACGTAGATTATTTTGATGTCTATTTACTTGGGTTGAGTTCGCATTTTTACTAAACATAAGTTAGTACGTAGTTGGTTTGATTCCAACTCTTGGGCTTTTGCTAAAGCATTAGGAAGGTCTTCTGGAGACAGTGAAAATAAAACGTTAGATAAGGGAGGATTTAATCCTGTTATAAATATTCGTGTAGCGTTCTCACGATGCTTTTTATTTAATTCTGCGGTTAGAGTGTTACTATTACCGTATGTCATTATAGTTTTGTTTATTAGCATTGTTAGTTTTTTGTTTATTTCGTTATAGTAGTCCAAAATTGTCATTGAGCCTTGTCTTAGGACACTTATTTCTTGTTCGATTATATGTATTGGTCGCTTATCCGCGTAAGCGAAGTCTAATCTACTGATTATTGCATCAAAATTCAAAACCGTACCGTGGTTGGTCAATACGTCATTAGCGTCATCAGTTATTTTATTCCGAAGAATGGTTAAAGCGGCGAAGTATTTTCTACTACCGCGGGTGTATAGGCTAAGAGAATTATTTGCGGCTTCGCGCCAGCTCACGTAAGAGCCGTCTTTACCGTTAAATTGAGGGAGACTTTTGATTACATCTAAAGTTTCGTCACAGTGTATAGTCTCGTCTATTGTTTCAGTTTTAAATTCCGTTACGGTATTGACATCGACTAATGTCTGTATTTGTCTCTTGAGACCGTCAAATTCTAATTTTAAAGATGCTGTATTAGCAGCTATAAGACGTGTTACTAAGTCTGAGGTGAAAGTAGTGTTCTCGTTTGTAGTCATGTTTGAAAACTTCCCTGTTAGTTCTTCCAGATTTAAGGATGGTTAACAATATAATTTCAATATAGTTTTAATTTCAATATATTTGAAAAAAATAATATTTTCAAATTTTATTTTTTTAATATAATTCAATAATATATTTAATATTTTTAGTAATAATTTTTTAATATAATTTTATGTTCGTTTTTTTTTTAATTTTAAATTCAATTATATAATATTTAATATTCTTAATAAGATTCTTTCAATAAAATTTTATGTTCGTTTTTTCTTCACGATGGCAATTCAAAAATGATAACAATAATTTGATTTTATTCATACAAAAATTAATTTTTTGTTAAACCTAACTCACGTTTCTCCTGATGATGAGGATACTTGATTGTTGATTGTTGTTGGGTTCTTTGCTGTCCAGGAATCCTTTTCTTCAGCTCCAGTTGGCAGCAGATAAATAATTTATTCGAAGCGGCTGATTATAGGAAGTCACTTTCTTATTAAATTATTTTAATGTCTTGAAATTAGTGTTTGTGACCGCGCGATTCTTTATTATTGAATTTGGCTTTTTTGTGATTTAATACTTCTTGGTTACTTTTAAATTTTCACCAACTTTGTAATACACTTTTATAGTTCGCCAAATGTTTTATTCAAATCACTTCCGATCACTTTCCGTATAACACTTTTTTTTCCAAGGTCCCTGCTCGGGCGCCAATTAATGAGATTATAAGTCCGGTTATATTTTAAAAAATATTTTATTTAATCAATAGCATTTACATTTAATCGTATCATAACCGTACATGAATCTAATCTAAGTGAGCAATGCTCCTACTTTTATATTCAAATAATCTGAGCTTACAAATAAAGCTTTTCACTCAAAGCTTGCTCAGATCATAATTTAAATTCTAACTTATTCTCTATATTTTCTCTTACAAAATAACTTTATGTTTTATACTTAACCCTACAAAGTGAGAGCGTGCGATAACATATATATATATATGCATAAATTTTTAATTGATTCGTATTATTGTGTTCAAGATTTCTCCTCAAAACAAAATTTTTCTTATGAATTTTAAATTTAAAATCAAATTTTTTTTAATATAATAATAAAATATGTAGGAATTGTACTGCTTATAAGATCTTTTCAAATGTGGACTCGGTTATCTCCTCCGTTACTCGCGGTCACTTTTTAAATACCTGTTCACCGTCTCGGTATTTCATTATTTTAACGGTGTATAATGCTGTCGTTATTCATATAGTCCAACATTTTAGTATTGCAGATAATTGTTGGGATTATTATAAATGGGTGTTGGAACACATATGCTCGATTAATTTCATCACACGTATTTCATTGATATGTTATTTTATTACCACTATTTAAACAAGGATATGTATTGTTTTTAGTTGTTAAAAATCTTGAATCTTTTTATTTAATCTCCTTCAGTACCTTTTTTTTACAATTTTAATTCACGAAAATTTACAAAAATAAAAAAAATCTTCACAGGTACAAAAAAATTTCTCCCGCACATATAAAAATCATAAAAATCTTCGAACAGCACTGCACTCGGACTTATATTTTCCGATATCTTGACAGTATCCAAAACACACCTTTTATACGACAGTTTATTCCGAGGTTTTAAAGGTACAGACGCGATCAGCACACTGGCCCATAAGGGCTATCGCGAAGACGGAACCTCTTAGGACATTGACCTTAATCTTCCACTTACCGTAGTAACGTAGTAAACAAAGAGTCCTAAGGTAATTGTTAAGCTCAATGTAGTTTCAACTGGAGAGGTCGGACTTCATGTAGATGAGACAATCATCTGCGTAGCAGATTTGCCTAATGCATTGTGAAGGAAGGGGTAGGTCAGCATTAAAAATATTTAAAAGGATGGGGTATTCGCTAGAAACAGCCATTACTCGAAACAGCTGTATGGTCAGCCAAAAATTCAATTAACTAAAAATTCCGTTTTTACAATTCACTACTGTTCGAAACCTCTCAGTTACATTTTATAATTTTTTACTTGTTATGCCATGATTTTAATTATAAAATAATTAATAATCAATTTAAAAATAAAATATTTTTGTTATAATTTGGTACTATTCAAAAACCTTTGCATTAGCAAAACAGTTTTCTTCGTAATTTTCGTCGTATTTATCTTTAAAAACTACATTCGTTTAATTTTGGAGAATCGCTCAATTTTATAAGAAACTTATAAATAAATTGTTCAATTGAAAATTAAAGGATAACTTCAAAATACCATATGAATTAAACGAAAAATTGCTTCATATTCGGTTATACTTTTTATAATAGAAAAGATTTTTACTTTCTACAATCCATAATAAGCGATGAAACTATTTTCCAGAATTGATAGAACCCTAGTTTAATGGACAATAAAATTTGCAACATTGGTGACTTTTCTTGTTCTAGTATTCTATTTTATTAAGAAAATATCCTCAGTAATGTCGTTCAGTTATATCTAAATGAGACATAAATATTGTTATATTGTATATAATTTTTAAAATACAAATATATGTACATTTTTCCTTTGTAAATTAAATTTGTAAATTAAATTGTTCCTTTTTATTTTCTCAATCACTCTTCATTTGTCATTAGAGAGGTTGTAACATTGTGACCGAAAAGTTTTCGGAAATTCTCATTTAAAATTCGCGCGCTGTATATTTTTCGATATTTTAAGTTTATGTAGTTTGGCAGCACTGTCCTGACAATTACTATGCCAAAAATGAGCGCGATCTGTCAGACAGTTCGTTTACGGCAGCTGTTGAAACCAGTTCACCTCAGTAGGGCGTTGCGAAAAAAACAATGGAAAAAAATATTGAACAAAGAGTTTGCATCAAATTTTGTGTTTCGAACGAAATTTCGTGTGCAGAATCGTTGCGAATGCTACAAAAGGCTTATGGGGAATCAGTTTTATCGAAAACTCAAGTTTATGAGTGGTACAAAGCCTTTCAGGACGGTCGTACGACCGTCGAAGACATGCCGCGTTCTGGACGACCTTCGACCTCTACCACCGACGAAAACATTGAAAAGGCAAAGGAAATCGTGTTCAAAAATCCTCATGTGAGTGTTAGAGAGATAGCACGAGAGCTAGGCATCGGTCGTGAGATGGCTCGTTTGATTTTGGTGGACAATTTGTGTATGCGACGTGTCAACGCCCGGCTTGTTCCGATTCACCTCAATTTGTTCAACATTATCAACGATTTTAAGGCCAAACATTCAATAAATACCATCGAACAGCCACCGTATTCACCTGATCTTGCACCGTGTGACTTTTTCCTGTTTCCCAACCTCAAATTACCACTCAGAGGAACGCGTTTTGAATCCATAGAAGACGTAAAACAGAATTCGCAGAGGGAACTCAAAGCCATACCGGAAAGCGCCTATAAAAAATGTTTTGATGATTTGGAAGAAACGTTATGCATTTTGGTATCGCTTTAATGGAGCATATTTTGAAGGAGATAAAATAAATATTGATGAAGATTAAGAATTTTGCGTTTTATTTAAAATTTCCGGAAACTTTTCGGTCACAATGTATATTCGCCTTGCATAAACATTTCTTCTTGGATAGGTGCATATTTGGTTAAACTTCCCGTTAATATTACTTTCCATTTAAGTCTTTTTTATCTAAATTCGAAATTTTAAGCCCACATTTAAATGGATTAAAAATAATTTCCTTCTTTTTATCGCATACATTTTGTGAAATAAATTTCATCCATGAGCTTTTTAACATCCATCGCACTAGTAATTCGTATGAAATGCGAAAAAAAAACATCAGATACAGAATCTGACAGGTCTAGTATTTTAGTGACGACATTGACTCCATATCGCATAATTTAATAGACCTAATCAGCTGTAAGCAATAAGCAATAAGCCGCGTGATGTCATGATATTCCAAATTGTATATGGTACAGTAACAGCTTTGGTAGGATTTACAAGCAACATTATCTATAAGTATAAATTAATATTTTATTGACTTCTTTTTAATTAAAAATTAGTTTGAGTTTAAATAGTTAATGAAATTATTACAATCATGATTTTATATAGATACTTAGGTGTGGCTAGGTAGTAGCTTAGGTGAATAAAAAGGAGGGTAAATAATATAAAGAGATAGAATCTTTATAGTATACACATTAGACTGTTTTCACACCTATTTCTTATATTCTTTAGAGCACTATTTGTGCTCAGTATTCATTTATTATTCATTTAAATAATAAATAATGAGCCACATTATTTTTATTATTTAACAAGACTAATTCGGTATACACTTTGTAATAATGATTGAAATTATATATTTTCAATTTGAGTTCATATAACCGTAAACATATGCATATATTATACCTTTACACTATTATACTTATAGTTCTGCGATTGACACAGAACTATTCATTTTATTTAAAAATTATTCTTATCACTGCACAATAATTGAGTTTATAATGAAGTGAAAACTTCAATAATATAATATATAGACAGTGTGTTACCCGCATAACACCAATTTGTTTGACAGAGGTTCATGTTAAGTAAATATGGTATGTGATTCATTCCAGAGGAACTTAAGGGTGAAATATAGAAAATATATTAATATTAATATATATCATATTGTCAGTTCTTCCGTTTTTCAGTATTTGAATTGATAAGGAAATGACTTTGAATATTTTTTCAAATGTTCTCATTTTTATCCCTCGAAAACAGACAGACTCTTTTATGTTGAAGGAGATATGTTATGTTGGATAGTATCGGATTATTGAAATAAAGTTTTATATTATTCAACCCACAGGGAATATGTTTTCTGATATCTTTTTACTACCTAAAAGGTACTAACTTTACTATATTACACAAAACTTACATATATGTGAAAAATATAAAAACAGCTAAATTCTTATTAAACTTAGACTAGGTGCTCTCTAGTAATAACAAAATTTAAATTTATTAATAATATTATCAAGATATTTTGAAGTTACAAAACTGCTATAGACAAGTGCAGGCATTTCACCTGGACCCATGTTAAATACAACTTTCATACCGGTACCTACATCGTGTTTTTATACTTTCTTCCTCATCTCATTCCATGTACAAAGTCTTGTCAACCTTTTGTGTGTTTGCTGTGAAATGGGCATTTGGTTACAGCAGTAGCAACAAGAACAGCAACAACAACAACAACAACAACAACAGATAATACAATAGAATCGTTGGCCTATTTCAGTTAACACTTTTATTTGTTAATTTCTTAAATAAACTTAATCAACTGACGATTTTAGTTAACAATGAAATTTATAGACTAATATTGCTGAAGTGTTCTTGCTGGAGTTTCAATATTCGTAATGGAGGTTATTAATCTTTCAAGTCACTATACAATCAATACGTCAACTACTAGAACTTTGTGCCTTTTTTACATATTATAATCCTACTTTCTCAATAATTTCACAATTTAAATATTTTGTTGGTATCACCTTTGAGTAATGTGCTAACATTTACTTACGTGTCTGACGCTCTTCCTCTGTATATTGGAGTGCCTTGTTAACAGGTTATATTTTTCGTGCTTTTTCCTCATATCATTTTAACTAAAATTAACTTGTATCACCCTATAACAGGATTAAAGTAATGTTATATACGCTTAATATTATTGTCACAAACTCACCACCACTGCACCTAACAGTTCCTGTAAAGTAAATGCTTTTTATTCATGCATTTCATCACTCTCCAAGATGCCAACTATATAATCACCAAAAATCGATTCATCTCTCTGGCACTTGTTTAATTTTTCCAGTAATAATTTCTTTCAAATGATATATGTACGTCGTATTAATCTTTTTAATTGTTACTGATTCATTTTTTATAACTTTTGGATCAGTTTTGTTGTTAAGTGCAACTGATTTCATTTTAAATTTACATTGTCAATTTATCTTATAAATTCATTGTAAGTTGATATTGTTAGATTAGATTTGTTTTTTAGTTGTCATTTGATAACTGTCATTTACAGTGGTGGCAATAAATATGTTCTTTGAAATTGAAATGACATGTTTAATAGTGTATAGTGTACATAATATTATTCGGACAAAACACTTCCACATTAGGCTTTTAGAATAAAATCTTGTAAAATTTTTTCTTATATGAGGTTAGGATTATGTAAATTGAAATGGATTTAGTGCTAGACTTCAAAAAGAAATTAAAATAAGGCATTTTAAAACTGTTTATTTGGTCTGCAATCTCTTTCGCCCATGTGGAAAGAATCCGTCTTTTCGAGATATATATGTTGTTTGTGTTTGGTTGAAACTATTAAGAAAAAAAATGTATTTGAAACAAATGAAACTCTAAATTATTTGAGTTTATAGAATTTTTCTTTGATGTTGTGGTGCTTTTATGTATTTTAAACCATTATATATCATTCATATATATGTAGGAATTTTATTATTATATTGAATTGAAAGTTGATTTTAAAAACATTAATACAATTAAATTAAATTAGAGTGATACAAAATTACAAAATGTATGTAAGAAAAAAATGTTTCGCGCTACTCGACCGTTTTCGCTGAACACCACGAAGCGACTGACTAACTCTTCTCTTTGTAGTCATGGCAACAAGAATTCGTTTGTTCTGCTCTCTTGTCGTACTGCACAAACACACCCCACATTCGGCCTTCCTGATCAAGCATTCGCCTCGAATGCTCCGAGGTTTTCATTGTTAGACCACGGCTTCATATATTCTGCACAAGTTGAAGTATTTTTCGGACCATCGGAATTACCTATCTTCTGAACATCATAAGAATTATTTGATTTAATTTTCACAACTTTGTATGGACCCAAAAATTTTGGTTTCAACTTAAGACCACTACCGAATTGTGTACGTTTGACAGCAACTAGGTCGTCAACGGCATACTGTCTAGCTTTTTTGCGTCGTAGGTTATACGTTTTTTTATTTTCGTCTTGCAATTTTACTATCTGTGTTTTGGCTTTAGCACGTAAATCGTCGCGATTTTCGCTAAATATCATGATCATCTCGTTGTTAATAAGTGCTTGTAACTAGTGATCATCTTTAGTACGCATTTTTACTCCAATTAACAACTCGAACGGCGTAGTCTGAAAGCTTCTGGAGAACGCCGAATTAATTGCTCGCTGTACCCGGTCAACATACTTATACCACTTCGTAGGGTCATCGATACTGAGTTTTGTGAGTACTGAAGTAATAACAGCGTTCAATCTCTTCACTTGCCCATTCACTCTCGGTAAGCCAGTTGTCGTCTTAATCAGCTTAATACCTTCATCGTCACAATAGCTTAGAAAATCTTGAGAGGTGAAAGCTGAGCCTCTGTCCGATATGATGAATGCGGGATTTCCGAACGTCATACTTTGAATACACAATTTTGCGATGACTTCATTCGCTGTAGTTGATTTAGTCGCGTATAGCCAGCAAAATTTCGTAAATGCGTCCACCACAGCTAAAATGTACTTGTAATTTTTGTTTGTTTATTCCAACGGTCCTAAGAAGTCGATATGGAACGAATACAGCGGAATCTCTTCTTTTTGTAGTGGGTGCAACAGACCTTCTTGCTTACCTCGATTACTAAGTATACATGGGATACAACATTCAATAATTTTCTGAATTTTATCTTCAACGTTCGGTATGAAGTAGTCTTTACAGATCAGCTCTTTAGTTTTTTTAATAGCGAAATGACCTCTTTCATGCACTTGACTGAATATTTGCCTCTGCATACCTACTGGAATTACAATTAATTCAACATCATTAACAAGTTTGTACAGGACACCAGATTTTATAATATAATCGTTGTAAGTCTTATTTTCTTTCTTGAGTATCTCAATTATTGCCCTTAGATGTTCATCTTGTGCTTGCGCTTGTTGTATTCGCCATAATATGCTTTCTGTATCAATCATCATCATTCTACTGAGTGCGTCCACGTGTCGCATTTGAGAACCAGGACGATGTTCTACTGTGTAATTATACTCTTGCAAAAAAAGAACCCATCGCGCCACTCTCGTGCATAAGTCCTTCTTGTCCAGCGTCTTTGTGAATGCATTACAGTCCGTAACCAATTTGAATTGCTGACCCAATAAATAAATACGAAATTTTTTTAAAGCCAATTATAGCTAACACTTCTAACTCATAGCTACAATATTTGCGTTCTGCATCCGTCGTTTTCTTACTCATGTAGTACACCGGATGAAATCTACCATCCTCTGGAAGTTTTTGCATGAGCACTGCTCCATAACCATCGATCGATGCATCAGTGTGCACTTCGATTTCATATTGTTGGTTGAAAATACTTAATACCGGTTGCTCACTCAAAATTGTTTTCAACTGTCTGAATGCTAATTTTTGTTCATCTTTGATTTCGAATTTGCGACCTTGTTTACGAAGATCACTAAGTGGCTTCGCAATAATTGAAAAATTAGGTACAAATTTACGAAAGTAATCTGCTAAGCCAAGGAAACTTTCCAACTGTTTTACATTTTCTGGCAACTTAAACCTCATGAGTGCTTCAATAATACCCTCTTTTAACCACCGTTCAATCTCTTGATCTACGATTTGCCTTTCACTAATTGGTAAACGTCTTGGTTTACTGTAAATCGGCGTATCATCAGTTAAAGTTAGTGTCATTTCTACATTAGTCGATTTTATTTTTTTCGGTCGATAGTTTTGAACTAGCTCTTGAACATTCTTTTTAGTTTTAGCACTAATATCTGATGCAGTATCAATTTCGGCTTCTTCTGGAGCTATTTCTATTTGCATAACAGCTAAGTTATTATCATTTTCATGCATTTTTGTTACGAACACCCCGTCATTATTAATTTTTATTTCGGCTTGATTCCTCAAAGGTTCACCAATTACCACATCTACGTCCACACACTCTGATTGTACTATTTGAAAATTCATTTCATAGTCTTCGCCATCAATTAAGACATTTAAATCACATTGACCAAGGGGTTTTATTTTACTTTTACTCGTCCTTTTTCCAAATCCAACCAAGGATATTTTTGATTCGCGGAGTTTTGGTTCTTTTAAACGTATATGCATCCGTTTCGTTATTATATGACACTTACTACCTGTGTCAAATAAAGCTCGACACTTTAAATTGTTTATTTTAATTTCTTTCACCATGCTATCCTCTTTAATAGACAAAACTCGTGTATTTGCATTTGGTGCATTTTCGTTTTGTTTAATTGTGCAATGCTTAGCGATATGACCATAATCACTGCATTTGAAACATTTCATACCTTTGCTTTTATTACTGCAATTTGAGGACACATGGCCTTTCATGCCACAATTATAACATAAAATATTTTTGGCTTCTTTTCCTTGTTGTTCGGCAGGTTTTTTATTAACTTTCAGGTTAACCGCACGATCTTTTCCACTTATCGATTCATAGCATTTTAGTTTTTCTTTAAACTCTCGTAGGTTTTTCGCGCCATATAAAATAATTTTATTTATATTTAAGTCATTAATGCCTTCAATCACATATTGCATTAGAGCTTCTTCTTCTATATTACCACGTGACGCTAGCTCTTTCATATTGAGAAAATATTCTTGACAACTCTCATTTTTCTTAATTTTTCTACTGCACATTAGTTTATGTAGTTCAGCACTATTTGTCGATTCTTTGAATTCGTTTATCAGAGCGTTTTTTAGCTTAAACCAATTATTAATACCTCGTTCACTCATTAGGTATGTTCGCGCTAATCCTTTTATTGATTTTTTTGCAAAGATAAACTTTTGTAAATCATCCCATTGCATCATTACGGAAATATCTTCAAATTCATTTAGCCAAACATCAATTGATAACAAATCATCTCCACTAAATGGTCTTATTGAATCTTCAACATCACGAAAATTTAACACAAATTTTGGTGTAACTATATTTTCGGCCGCTACTGTAAAATTCTTTACTGAATTTTGTTTACGCTGTTGTCTTTGTCGTAACTCGTTGTTGCTTTTAATAGTTTTGTTTTGTGATGTCATACTTCTTTGTTTCACTTTACCTGTTTCTCTGTTTACTCCGTCGTCGCTTTTGCCGTATTGCTTGTCGCATCGAATTTTACTCTCTAATTCGCCTTCGGCTTCATTGTATTGGTCATTGTCGCTTGTTCCACTATTTGCTTCATCTCTCTCTTCGTTGCGTTGAACGACATCGTCATTTCGATGATCGTCTTCATTATCATCAAAATCATCATCGCTTTCGTCAGTGTCGTCAACTGCATTAACGGAACATAGTAAACCACCTTTACTTAAATTGTTGAATATGTGCACGAACAAGTCATCAGCCTTGTAGTCAATTCCCAACATGTTGCATATTGTAACTAATTCGCTGCTTTCGAAATTTGCAGTAACGTACTCCTGCAATGACTTAAAACCCTCGTCATCTTGGCTAAAGTCAAAGCCTACAAAATCCCTGAGCCGTTGCCTGTTATTTCTATCGCCTCCAAATTGAAAAACAAATTTGTGTAATAGTGCAATACTCTCCCTTCTACCTTTAGACAGAACATGCCGTAGCGAGTCGATTCTGCCCAGCGACGCCATTTCATGCAAACACTTATAACTTTTTCACACCAGCTTGATCCAATATAGTTTGTTTTAACACAGTTTTTTATCACTACAGTTTTTTATTTTATCTCGGGCGAGCCCCCAAAATGTAGGAATTTTATTATTATATTGAATTGAAAGTTGATTTTAAAAACATTAATACAATTAAATTAAATTAGAGTGATACAAAATTACAAAATGTATATAAGAAAAAAATGTTTCGCGCTACTCGACCGTTTTCGCTGAACACCACGAAG